CCCCAAAACCCCAAAACCCCAAAACCCCAAAACCCCAAAACCCCAAAGGAGTTAAAATATTGAATAATAAAATAAAATGAAGAATTATCAGGGGATAATATTTAGGAAGAAAGACTTCTATGATCATGAAGAGTCAGGTAACTCCTAGATTATTCAGTTTTACAATGTTTTAGTAGACCAGACAAAAGAAAGTATGCTGAATGGTGCCCCAAATGCCCTGTGTAAGATATCCAAATTTATTTTCCTTATTAATTATAATTATTTATAGTAAAGAATAGAAGAATTCATACATCCACGGAAGGAATGTAAGCTATTTTCATCAAAATTTGTCCAACATTGATGGAAATTAATGGAAAGAGACTTTAGAGAAACTACTCTTACTTTTAGGAATCGTACTCAGAGATTCAAAAGAATCGGAACTAGCGTTCCTGTGAATAAGAAATAAGGTCAGCAAGCTTATGAAATCAAAGCACCCAAAAGAAATATATAATACAAAGCCCCAAGGTGCATTCCAAAGCCTAAGAGATCAACTGAGAAGGATAAATCTAAGAGATAGCTCTCCACATAATGATAAGAACAAGACATTAGGCCAGCTATCTTTAGTGTCTCATATCAAGAATAACAGCTTATCTAAAAATGGAGTTTTTGGCTTAGAAATTGATCGTAAAGACCCACAAAGCTTTATAAAACACAATCAAAGCACTTCTAAGAATTCAACAAGGTATAAGAAATTTATGAAATCTCGGAGAACTGACTGGAGAGATGAAGACCAGAAGTTTCATGAGGAGATGGTTGCTTTCAAAGACTCTCTCCCTCAATTTTTTAAGAACTCTAACTTCGTGCTAATCAACAAGCAAGGAGAGCTATTAGAAGAGGAAACGGAGGCATTGAAAGCCCAGATCTCTAAAAATCAAGAGAACTACCAAGAGACTGAAGTCCCTTTTAGTAATAATGATGAGGAGTCTATTTATGAAGGAAAATCCGAAAATGAAAGAATCATTCAACTGATCCCTAAGAAATTCAAAGAAAACCTGATCTACAAGTACAGAGATAAAAATACTTCCCAAAGGTTGAAGGGTATCAGAGAAGTTAGGAGAAACATTCCCAAATTCGAGAACAAATCGGATATTCTCCCTTCAAAGTTTGATGCAATCAGAAGTGCAGAAAGGTCTACTGTATTTTCTCCGAAGAATTTCCCGCATGGAGGCAATCTGATTTCAAACCCAACAGATCTAGACTCTAAAGGAGATCCTATCGAGAGAACTTACAACGGTAGAGAGTATGCCTCAGGTTACCCCAAAGATGACGACCAGCAGGTGAACGAAGATCTTTCAGATAAAGGGACTGAATCCGAAGAATTTGACTTAGTAAAACTCCAAAATGAAGCTTTCTCCAAAATGTTCGTTGAAAATAAGATCGATGATCCAACAAGCAAAGGGAATTTAGAAAGTTATAGAAAGAGCACATATCCAAGAAGCAAAATTCCTTTTGAGCTCAAGCAAAAGTTTGATGTTATTTCAGATAATTTCAACTATAATGATGAGTTCTGGAGGCCTGAGGATGTAATGAAGCATGATACTACTCCTCGTCAAGAAATCAGAAAGCCTGTATTCTCAAAAATCAAGGATGGCGAGGAAGAAATTGTTACTAATGGTGCATTCTCAGCTCAGAAAAGAGCTAGAACTACTCATGAGAAGAATCCAAACAAAGATAAAATTCATGAACAAATTGGATATATTAAGGCTGATTGGATAGATAAAATTATCAAGATTAAAGAAAATATGGATAAAAAGTGCAAATGTTGCAATAAGATTTATTGTGATGTCGAGAGAAAGCCTAGATTGGACACTGGCACACAGCATTCTGGACAATTGATGAGCCAGAAAAGAAGTCATACAGCCATTGAAGGACCAATGCAAACAGAAAGATTTCTAAGTAAATATAATGTTAATGTACCACCAATAAGGCCTCCACAGAGTGTAACTCAGTCTGCTAGAGGAGAAACGCAAGAGTTGTCAATATTTCAGCATTATACTATTAATAATGCTTACATTGATGAAGCTGAAAAGAATTTTATTCCTCAACATCCTCCCATTAACATTTCAAAAGAAGAGTGTAGTCAGATTAATTCAGATTTACGAAGATATCTTGAAAATGGGCAAAGATTAGAGCCTCAGTATCATAAACCAGAGGGTATTGCTACTCAAGAGCCAATTCAAACTTTGTCTGATGATAAGCGGAACACTTTCTATGTTGAGAAGCAAGAAGGTGATTGGCAGAAGCTTGATCTTGCTTCCCCGGGTTCCACATATCGTACTGGTGGTCTCTACAGCCAAGGATACTCCATAGTTTACGCTCAACCTAAGCCAGTGGTGATAAGAGCCAATGTCGAAAATAACGAATGGTAAAATCCTCACATTATCTTTAGGCTACTAAAACACTTAAAAAGAAGAAGACCCAAAAACCTTGTAAAGAAGATTTTCCAACCAGTCTCAATGGAACGGAAACCCTTTGTTGTACAAAAATGGACCTCACCATTCGATCAATTTAGACAGAAAAGAGTGGAAAGAGGTAATGCCAAAAGCATGACTGTGGAGTTACTAAATCAAAACAATTAATAATCTTCAACAGTCCAACACTAATATTTCAACTCGATACTCCCTTTTCGGGGTTTTGGGGTTTTGGGGTTTTGGGGTTTTGGGG